AGGTGCTGGCCCTCTGCTCCCTCCCCGAGTCACCCCGCGTCTGTCCTGCTCTCTAAGGACCTAGCAGGTGGGCCCCTCGGCACCTTGCCCACCCCAGCACCAAAGCAGATCGCACGGGGAGCCCCTGGCCTGTCGCCCGCCTCCGCCCTCGCCAGCGTGTGGCTGTCTGCCCACTTCCCTGGCCCCCACCCATCTGGTCGGCCCCGTAACTGATGGCCACAGCCTGGGTGGCCTGGGAACCACACGGGTGTGTTTGTGCCCAGCTGGAGGGCACGGCCAGCCCGGGAAAGCCTGGGCTCCTCACGGGCGGAGGCCAGGGGCCTTGGGGACCATGGGGACTCCGGTGGTGGTGCTGGTCACCCCCACGCCCGCCCCGACGCCCACTTGGGCTTATTAATTCATTTTATTGGTACACTTTAGATACATGTAAAGATACCATCACGGGGAATTTGTACCTGTTCAAAATGTATCTTGACTCTTTTTTCCCCAATCCCCCCTTCAACCCTCCCCCTTTTTTCGAGGCAGGGGCTCGCTCTGTAGTTCAGGCTGGCCTTGAACTCACTGTGTAGCCCGGGCTGGCCTTGAACTCGTGGCAGTCCTCCTGCCTCAGCCTCCCTCCCGAGTGCTGAGATGACAGGTGTGCACCGCCACGCCCAGTTGTCCCCCTTATTTACAAAAGCTTTGTTTCCATTTTTCCCTTCTGGTCTCTTTTTTCCCTTCATCCCCTCCCTTCCTTTTCTCCTTTCCATCTGGACATGTTCTTCCTACTTCCCGATATCTGTTACACATCTTGGTCCTTGTTTACCCTTTTGGCTTCTCACACCAGAGAAACAATGTGGTAAATATGTGTGCCCAATTTATTCCACTTAAAAGTGTGGTCTCAAGGTGCATCCATTTCCGAGAAATGTCTCAAGTGTATCCTTCATGGCAGAGTCGTACTCCATTGAATAAAAACCCCACATCTTCTTTATCCATTCATCCACTGATGGGCACTTGGGCTGTTTCCAAGATTTAGCTGTTAGAAACTGTGCCGCTGTAAACATGGCCAGGCATATATTGCTGTGGTATGATGCTTTTAATTCTTTCAGGAAGATCCCCAGCAGGGTACTAGCTGGGTCAAATGGGACCTCTAAACCTAGTTCTTTGAGGAATCTCCATACTGACTTCCACAGTGGTTGCACCAGTTTTACACTCCCACCAGCAATGGAGAAGGGTTCCTTTCTCCCCACAGCCCCGCCAGCATTTGTTATGGGTTGATTTCTTGATAGCAGCCATTCTTTGTGGGGTGAGGTGGAATCTCAGCGTTGTTTCAATTTGCATTTCTCGAATGACCAGTGATATTGAACATGTTTTAATGTATTTATTTGCTGTTTGTACTTCATCTGAGAAGTGTCTGTTCATTTCAGAGGCCCATCTTTGGATTGGGTCTTTAGATTTGGGCGTCTGGTTTTTTTAGTTCTTTATATATTCTAGATAGTAGTCCTTTGTCTGAGGAGTAGCTGGTAAAAATTTTTTCCCATTCTGTGGGTTGTCTCTTCACTCTTTCGGTGGTTTCTCTTGCTGTGCAAAAGCTTTTTAATGTGATGTGATCCCAGTTGTTGATTCTTTGTGATATTTCCTGTGAGATTGGGGTTTTGTTCCTAAAGTCTTCGCCTACAGCGAGGTCTTCAAGAGGTAGACCTATTCTATCTCCCAGCAGGTTTAGTGTTTCTGTTTTAATATTTCTAGTGTTGGTCCATTTTGATTTTAGTTTAGTGCATGGTGAGAGGTATGAGTCTAGTTAATCTCCAGCATGTGGAAAGCCAGTTTCCCAGCGCCATTTACTAAAGAGGCTGTCTTCTTTCCAGTGGACATGTTTTGCCCCTTAGATGAGGTGGCTGAGTGTGTCTGGAGTTGTTTCTGCATCTTCTGATCTGTTCCATGGATCCTTAAGTCTGTTTTTTTGCCAGTACTATGGTGATTTTTTTTTATCACAGTAGCTTTGTTTTTTGGTTTGTTTGTGTTTTGGGTACCAGGAATTGAACTCAAGACCTGGCACTTGCCAGGCAGGTGCCTCGCCGCTGAGCTACATCCCTGGCCACAGCAGCTTTGTAGTATGATTCCAAGTCAGGGATTGTGATGCTCCCTGCCTTGCCTTTGGTGCCCAGAATTGCTTTTCCAATTCTAGGTCTCTTCTGGTTCCAAATGTATTTTAGGATTGTTCTCTCTAATTCTGTGAGGTATGCTATTGGTATTTTGATCAGGATTGCATTAAGTCTGAATAACAATTTTGGAAGTATGGCCATTTTCACTGTATTGTTTCTTCCTACCCAAGAACAAGGGACATCCTTCCATTTTCTGACACCCTCTTCAGTATCCTTTTTCAGAGTACTGTAGTTTTCAATGTAGAGGCTTTTACTTTCTATGTTAGATCTATTCCTAGGTATTTTATTTTTTGGATGCTATTATGAAAGGGGCTGTTTCCCTAATTTTTCTCTCAGTGAGTTTATTTGTGAACAGGAATGCTATTGATTTTTGAGCATTGGCCTTGTATGCAGCTATGCTACTGAATTTGGTTATTAAGTCTAGAAGTGATTTGGTGGAGTTCTTGGGGTCTTTTATGTAAAATATGTTATCCACAAATAATTACAGTTTAACGTCTTCCTTTTCTATCCTTATTCCTTTTATTTCTTTCTCTTGTCTAATTGCTCTGGTTAATGTTTACAGGACTATATTGAATAAGAGTGGTGATAGTGGACATCCTTGTCTTGTTCCTGGTTTTAGAATGAAAGCTTTCAGTTTTTGACCATTTAGTGTGATATTGGCTGTCGGTTTGTCATAGATGGCTTTTACCAGATTGAGATAAAAACCATATATTCCAATTTTCTGTAGGGTTTTTATCATGAATGGGTGTTGGACTTTGTCAAATGCTTTTTCTGCATCTATGGAGATGATCATATGGTTTTATGTCCTTGGCTCTGTTGTTGTGGTGTGTTGCGTTTATTGATTTGCATATGTTGAACCATCCCTGCATCCCTGGGATGAATCCTACTTGGTCATGGTATATAATCTTCTTGATGATTTGCTGCATTTGGTTTGTCAGTATCTTGTTGAAGATTTTTGTATCTGTGTTCATTAAGGAAATTGGCCCGAAGTTCTCTTTTTTATATGCTTTTTTTGTTGTCGTTGTTGTACCGGGGATCGAACTCAGGACCTTGTGCTTGTGAAGCAGGTGGCAGAACCACTGAGGTAAATCCCTGGCTGAAGTTCTCTTTTTGGATTGGATCTTTCTCTGGTTCTGGTATCAGGGTAATGCTTGCTTCCAGGAATCAGTTTGGGAGTATTGCTTTCACTGGGAGTATCACTTTCATTAAAGAGTTTGAGGAGCAGTGGCATTAGATATTCTCTAAAGTTCTTGTAGAATTCAGCAGTGAATCTGTCAGGACCTGGGCTTTTCTTTGTAGGTAGGTTTTTTTTTTTCCCCCAGTACCAGGGATCTAATTCAGGACCTTGCGCTACTGGGCAGGCACAACACTGCTGAGCTACATCCTCAGCCCTATAGGTAGATTTTTAGTTACATTTTTAATTTCATTGACTGATACTGGGTTATTTAGAACTTTTACATCATCTTGATTCAGCTGTAGTAATTCATATGTATCGGCAATCTGTCCCTTTCTTCTGTGTTTACCATCTTATTAGAATGCAGGTTCTTGCCGGGGATTTAGCTCAGTAGTTTCGATGCCTGCTGCGCAAGCGCAAGGACCGGAGTTCGATCCCCAGTACTAAAAAAAAAAAAAAAAAAGAGAATGCAGGTTCTTGAAGTAGGTATTGATGATCTTCTGTAGGATCTGTTGTGATTTCACCCTTTCCATGCCTAGTTGCATGGATTTGAGTCTTTTTAATAAAGTTGGCTAAGGCTTTGCCAATTTTATTTAATCTTTCAAAAAACCAACTCTTTAATTCTTTGATTCTTTGTATTGTTTTTTTGGTATAAATTGCATTAATTTTTACTCTGATCTTTATCATTTCCTCCCTCATATGCATTATGAGTTCAGCTTGCTTTTCTTTTTCTAGAAGCTTGAGGTTCATCATTCAGTTTATTTGAGCTTGCTCTGTCTTTCTGATGTGGGAATTCACCGCTTTAAGTTTCCCTGGTAGCACTGCCTTCATTGCATCCCACAAGCTCCGTTATGTTGTGTTGGTCATTATCATTTAGTGTAGAAACTGTCTAATTTCTTAATTTCACCCAAGACCCATTGGTTGTTCAGGAGGGAGTTGTTTAATTTCCATGTGTTTATGAAGTTCTTGAGGTTTCTTTTGCCTTTGATTTCCAGTTTCATTTCACTATGATCTGATAATATGTAGGGGGAAGTTTTTTTGTTTGTTTTCTTTTTTAATAATTTCAGTTCCGTTGGATTTACTTAAGTGTGTTCCGTGAGCGAGTGTGTGGTCGGCTATGGAGAACCCAGAGCCCTGCTTGTGTACGCTTGGGCCAGGCCGTGTCCACGGGAGGGCGGTAGTGATTTCCTGGCTCCTCTGGGGTGGTAGCAGGGCGGATGCATACGTGTGTTCACATGTTGGTGTGGGAGTGCGCATGTGCCCTGGACGTGTTGACACTGGGGCTGACCCGGCAGTGCCTCTGATTTGCACTTAGATGCCCTGGCCTGGCCGTGGCCCCGGCTCCGGTCCCTGTGCCATTGTCTCAGGTCGGCTGCGCTGGCCGTCTGGGCTCTTTCCGCACTCTCACCCGACTGGGATCACCTGGCCGCGGAGCCCAGGCCCAGGTCACCACCATCAGGTCCCACCTGGAAGTGTGTCACAGAAAGGTGACTCCGTGGCACCCGTGTCCGCTCCCTGCGGCCTCATGGGGAGGAGGGCGATCCTGGGGCAGGAGGCTGCTCTGGGGTGGTGGGGCCACGACGCTGTCCCCAGGTCACTGGTGGTGGTGCCAGGAGGTAGGGTGGGGCCATGGCAGCAGGCTGCGTGGGGCTGGGCTCCAGACAATATCTCTCTGCCCCCAGGTGGCCTTCATGACGCTGACGCTGTTCCCCATCCGCCTCCTGTTTGCCGCCTTCATGATGCTGCTGGCCTGGCCCTTGGCACTCATGGCCTCTCTGGGTCCTGCTGACAAGGAGCCTGAGCAGCCCCCAGCGCTGTGGCGGAGGTGAGTGACCCAGTAGCTCCACGTGCAGGGACCCCAAGCCAGGTGGGGTGTGCTCTCACCAGCGAGGACCCCGCCTTCCCTCTGAGCCCGTGTCCCTGCCTACGCCCCAGGGCTCCCTGCCGGCCTCCTGCAGCTTCCTCTGCAGGCAGCCGTCCCTTCTTGTCCCTGTCCCTCTCCTGCCCCGAGGCTCAGGGTACAGGACCCCTGCCGTGGCTTCTCATGGCTGCAGGCTGGAGTCACAGCTTCCTAGACCCTGGACCTTGGGTCCTGAGTAGCCACACTGCTGGGGCAACTTGGTGGCATGGGCCTCGTGCCCAGGAGGACCCTGCTTCCACCTGAGGGCAGTCAGGCCGAGTGTGTTAAAGTGGCCAAGGTGAGCGGGTCACCACATCTCAGGTCCAGGGTCGGTGAGCCAACATCAGGGCCCTGCCAGCTGCCTCCTCTGTGGTGACGCCTGTCAGCCCAGCTCCGGCTGCCCTGGCCTCTAGCACTGGGTGTGGACGGGTCCTGAACCACACAGAGAAGCTCTCCCAGCGCCACGGAGACCTGAGCCTCATTCCGTGTTACCTGGTTTCCCTGAGATCCTGGCGCCACATGTAAGTGGCAGGCACCTGCACATCTCACAAACCGCCACCACGTCCTCAGCCACCACTCTGTAGCTGTCCCCATGTGCATGGCGCTGCTGAGCAGGCGTGGGGCCGGGCACCTGTTGCAGAAAGAGACACATTAGTGGCTGGCAGAGGTGCTAGCACGCGGCCACGTCGCACCTGCCTGCCCTGCCTTGGTGAATAAAGCTTCACTGGAGCCCAACTGCACCCGTGTTGTCAGTCCTGTGGCCGTGATGGGCCACGTAGCCCCAGAGCCAGACAGTCTGTGTTCAGGCGTGTCCAGCCTCAGCGGCCTGGCCTGGCCTGGCCTTCCCTTCCCTTCCCCAGAGCTCAGCTGCTCTGGGCCTACTCCAGGAGGAGCCAAGGGGGACACAGGGACCCTGAGCTCCGGGCCCTGGGAACACAGTGCCGGTCAGAGCGGCAGAGGGAAAGGGAGGCTGGTGGGCCGGGACCCCAGGCCCCGTGCTGAGGACTAACCAGCCCGCGTCAGTGGTGACGCCATGACCAGGGCTGGGTGGGGCCCTCACTGCTTCCTTCCGCCTCCCTGGGTTTTCTGAGCCCTCTTGGAAGAGTGTTTTACCTCGAGGTCCTGTTGACAAGCTTGCAGCCCTAAAACAGGAATTTGGTATCGGATGCAGCCAGACCAAACCAGAGCTGACCGGTGCTGGGAGCGGAGCTCCAAATTCAGGTGGCAGCCTGGGGAAAGACTCAGGGTTCGGGTTCTCAGTAGCAGCTGCCGGAGGGGCCCCACCCTCCACCCTGCCGCCCGCACGACCTCCCCCAGCTGCAGCCCCCTTGTCCTGAGGGTGCTCCCCCAGCCCCCCGTCCTGCCCTCCTCATCCTCAGGCTGCTCCTCGGCCCCTGTCCCTCCCGGACTCTCAGGCACCGGCAGCCCTGTTCTGGGCGCTGTGCCAACACAGTGGCTCTAGAATGACCCGTCTGGCTTCCACCGGCCGTAAGTCGCCACTGCGGAGTGCCCCCGGGTGTGTGCTGTTCCAAAGAGTGAGGTGCTGGGGTTCCTTACAGCCACGGTCGAGAAGCCTCAGGCAGCTGGGTCTGCGGAGACTGAGTTTTATTCCGTGTGTGTGTGTGTGTGTGTGTGTGTGTGTGAGCACCTGTGTGTGCGTGTGTAAGAATGTGTGTTCCTCTGTAGTGTGTGCGGTGCCCCCTTGTGTGTCCTGGACCTGCGTGTGCTGTGCCAGGGCACCTGGGCATCCCTGGTCACCAACACTGGACACTCATCGGGCAACTCTGCGTGAGCTGGACTCCCCAACAGCAGACAGCACAGTCAGCAGGGGCCCTGACCAGTGTGGTGACAGCGTCTCCGGGACACCGGGGCTGGGAGACCTGGAACGTGAAGTCTCAGGGTTGATGACCCTGTATCGCTCGGGCTGGGTTTCTGACATGCGCGGCACCGCTGCCTGGAGTAGAGGTTGTTAAAGACTCTTGCTGAACGAAGTTAGTTTCATTCAGGCCTTTCTAAGATAAAAATCCGAGCCTTCCAGTGAATGTCAGTTTGGCGGAAGACATTTATTTTAAGTTACTGTGAAACGTGGCATCTTTTTGCAGAAATGGGGCTGACACTGACCACCCTGGGCAAGTCCCGAGCAGGCCAGGCCTCCGGGCCGGCCCTCAGTGACCAGCAGCTGTGCCTGGGGCTCCAAGCCCCACGTGTGGTGCAGCCCCTCCACGCCCGCCTGCCCACGGGGCCAGAGCCACAAAGCCTTAAATTTCTGGTGAGCCCCCCCCCCCCCCGGTCTCCCACTGCCTTCGCCGGGCTGTGCCTCCTGGAGCTCCCGGGCTGTGCCTTCTGCTTGCTCTTGTGGAGTTGCGCCCTTGGAGGCCTCCGCTCCCCCGTACTGGTCCCTGGGCTCTCCTGGGCCTCTTGCGTCGCAGTCCGCCCCTGTGGGTGCTCTCCCACTCTGGGCCCGCCCAGGCCTGGCTCCTGTTCCTTGGGCGTCATTTGTTGCCTCTTGGCTTTTATTTCTGTACATGTTTCAAAGCCAGCATGCCGAAAGCACACTGGGGTGTGTTTAGCTGAAGTTCAGAAGCGCAGTACCCGGTGCCCGGCTGTAGGTTGTGACAGTGACGTTCATCCTGCCACTGGCACGGGTCCTGTCGGGGCAGCCCCCAGGGCCCTGTGCCCTCTTGATCAGCCTCTGCACCTCAGCAGGGGTTCGGGCCCCTGGGAAATCAGTTGGCCCGGTCTTAGGCTCTTATGCTGCAAAGCGATTTGCCCCGTGCTGGCTGCCCTGTTGCCAGCGGCCAGCGGGGCCTGGCTCTCCTGCCACACATGTGCTTGCGGGCCAAGCGCACTCGTGGCTTCCTGGTGGCTGAGCGACAGTGGGCTGGAGCTTGGCAAGCAGCGTGACAGGAAGGTCGCGTGCGGAGTTGGACACCATGTCCTCACGCATTGCTGGAGGCCCTGGCCAGGCTGGCCCGCCCCGCTGTCGGCACTGCTGTCCACCCGCTTCTCCCAGTAGCTGCGCCCGTGGTGCTGTGAGGCCTGGGCTCACTCCATGCGTCCACGTGTGCCGCGCTGGGTGGCGCAGTGGTGTCCCCACCTGCACAGGCCCGGTGGCCAGGAGGCGGCGGGGCTGTCGGCCCCAAGCGCCGCTTGTGTGCGCACTGGGCGTGAGTGGCGGCGTCGGCTGGTCTCCGCCACGTGTGGACGTGTCCTTTGCAGTGGGGTGGGTGCGTGAGCCCGTGTCCTCCACCCTGCTGGCGCCTGGCCTGACCCATGCTGTCCTGCAGGCTCGTGGACGTCCTGCTCAAGGCCATCATGCGCACCATGTGGTTTGCGGGCGGCTTTCACCACGTGGCCGTGAAGGGGCGGCGGGCGCTGCCCAGTGAGGCCGCCATCCTCACGCTGGCACCGCACTCGTCCTACTTTGACGCCATCCCTGTCACCATGACCATGTCCTCCGTCGTGATGAAGGCGGAAAGCAGGGACATCCCAATTTGGGGAAGTGAGTAAGACCTGCGACCGGGTGGGGGGACCCCAAGTGCACCTGGGGGCTGTCTGAGACCACGGGCGGTGCCGAGGGCCTGGCAGGATCAGCTGCTTCCAGCTCCTCAGGGGGTCCCCATGCTCAAGGCAGATGCAGCAGAGGTTTCCGGTGGGGACACTGGGCTCTGTGGGGTTCACCTTCCAGGGGGCAGCCAGTCCGGAGCTGGGCCCACAGCCCCCACCAGGGCTCCGACCTGGCTCTGCAGCACAGCTGCAGGGTGGTGCCAGACTCCTGTGCCAGGAAGGAGCAGCCAGCACGGGGCAGGGCCAGTGTCTTTCGTCGTCCTCCTCCTGTTCTGGGCCTCTCTGGGTACCGCGTGTGCTGCTGTGTGAGTGTCCCTGGCAACTCGCCCTCGCTCACAGCTCCCACTGCTGTCTCGGCCCCCCCAAGGAGGGACCCCGGTCATAGGTTAGGGCCAGTGTCACCCAGGACGGCCTTGTCTCTACCGGACCACGTGCAAGCACCATTGCCAAACGAGGTCCCACACTCAGGTCCCAGGAGTCAGGACTCAGCCTGCCTTTAGGGGATTCGAGGGGCTGGGTCCCCCACCGCGAGTCCGAGAGCCCTTAACGCCACCTGCAGCAGGTGGGCACAGCTGCCTACCGCCGGGGTCCTCGCCCGCCTTCCACACTGGTCCTGTGAACGCTCACCTTTTACTGTGACAAGGTGGTTTGCTGCCTTCCGGGAACAAAGGGCTGCTGCCTGGGGAAGTTCCTGGAAGGTCGGGCTCTCCTGAGTCCTCGATGTCCGCCCAGTGCCGTGTCCAGAGTCTCTGGGGTTGCAGATCTCCCCCCCCCCCCAGGCCACTGTGATGGGTGCCATGGACCAACACTGTCTGTCTTCACCCTGTGCAGCCCTGATACGGTACATACGGCCAGTGTTCGTGTCCCGGTCCGACCAGGATTCCCGCAGGAAAACCGTGGAGGAGATCAGGAGCCGAGCACAGTCCGGCGGAAAGTGGCCACAGGTAACCTGCCCTGTGCGTGTTTGAGGGTCTCTGAGCAGTGTGAACTTGAGAGCGGCCAGAAGCTGGGGGTCTTTCTCTGGGGCTGTGCTGCGTTTTGTACCATTGCCTTTGGTCAGAGTGTGCAGATCCGTAAATGTGCTGGGTGTCCAGAGCTTTGGCTTGGGATACACGATTGAAAGATACAAGGAAACAATTCCCAGAGGCACCAGCGTTCCTGAGCCATCTTTGTTTAAAACCGGAGAGGCTCTTGGTGTGCCCCCTTGGGAACCACCCCAAATCCGAGTTCCTGGTAGCCGCAGGTAGCATGGAGGGTGTGCATGTTGTGCCTAGCCCTGCCGTGAGTGCTGCGTGCTCTGGGTCTGGAGCCAACAGTGGAAGCAGAGATTCACACGACCCTTGGGCTGCTGGTCCTGTGGCCGCTGGGGGCAGTGAGCTCCTCAGACTCAGCAGCTGCCCCTTCCCTGGGGCCCCGAGTCCTGGGATTCTGGGGCTCAGCTGCCACAGGGGTGTCGCCTGCCCTGGGGCACACGACTGAAACATCTGTGGGGCTGCACTTCCCACCTGCAGGAAGTGGAGTTCAGTTCCTGCCGCCTACACGCTGTCTCCTCACCACTGGCTTTGGGGTCCGCCATGGCCCCGGCTCTGCTGCTCCCTTCTGTTCCCCTTCACTTTTCCCAGTGACCACGGTGGCTGCCTCCCGCGGGTGTGCACTGTGTTGATAGGGGCGTAGGGTTAATCGCATGCACTTTCCAGCGTGCCTTCGAGGTGGGCGCCCTGACAAACGTGCTTTCCAGGCGTGCGGTGGAAAGGAGGCAGTGTGAGTGCGAGTGAGTGTGTGTGTGTGTGTGTGTGTGTGTGTGTGAGAGAGAGACAGAGTGCTGCTCCCAGCTTGGTGAAGCCGTAGCTAGCGTGGATCTGCGTGCATGCCACGGCACACCCTGGTTTTCCACTGAACGCGACTGGGGATCGAGGCCTTGCCAGGAGTGAGGAACCCAGATGGGCAAGATGGGCACCATGGGCTCTGGGTTGTAATTATGGTCATTTAATGCTGAGTTTCTTCTTGTTTGAAGATAATGATTTTCCCAGAAGGAACTTGCACCAATAGGACCTGCCTGATTACCTTCAAGCCGGGTAGGTAATTTTCTTTGTTTTCCCCGCCAGATGAGAGGAGTGTCGAAGTGAGGGCCCGGGGCTCAGCACTGCCCTTGTGCTTGCTGGGTATTGCAGGTCACGTCAGGTGTGGGTGAGAAAGGTTTCCGCTTTTCTTTTGTTTGCTGGGGATCGTGGAAGTATCTCTAGGAAGAGTGAGTCTCTCGGTGGAGGGCTGTGGTGTCTGTGGAGGGTGAAGTTGCCTTGAACACACTGATAATGAGTAGAGAGGCTCGAGGGACCCTCGCGTGGACCAGGCCTGGTGGGTTGGGCCCTGCCCACCCAGTGCTTCCTGTGTGCAGTTTGCCCCCGTGGGACCCCGGGTGCAGACCCCGAGAGCTGGGGGACCCTGAATACACGGGAGCAGGCACCGGGGCCCAAGCCCACTCCGCAGCGTGACTGTGGGGTGGGCAGATGCAGCGCCCTCTGCTGCCTGGCCTGGGATCTTGGGAGTACCTCTCCCACCCTGTCCCTGCTTGTGCTGGGCCTGCACCCTTCCCTTGGGCTGCATAGCACCGCCCTGCCTTTGGGCTTTGCAGAGCCTGGGCCCCGCTGCCCCTGCCCTCCTGCTCAGCTGCTGGAGGCTGCGCCCTCCCGTCCTGCTGCAGCAGGAGGGTGGTGGGCTTCACAGGCAGAGGCAGGGCAGCCAGGTGTGGCTCCCCGTCCCTGCCTTGGGCTGTGAGGCCGACTCTGCCACCTCTCTGGACCTCTCGCCCAGGCACAGCCTGTGAGGCGGCTGGTGTCCCTGGGACTGTTCCCTGGGAAGCCTGTGATGGCCTATACTGGCCATTTCCCCAGGGCCACGAGCAGAGAACAGCCTGCTGGTGGATGTCTGGATCCCTTCTGAAGGACACATGCCAAGGGACGGGTCATGGCGAGCCTTCTCCCTGGACATTGGAGGCTCCTGGGGGAGCAGTCCCTGGCGTCGCTCATTGGAGCTGCTGCCCTCTTGGGCCAGGCAAGAAGGAATTGAGAAATGAAGAGGGATTAGTACCCAGCGCACGAGACCAGCACAGTCGTACACGGCGAGCCCTGTGCAGTGAGCACTCAGAGGACATGTGCTGACAGCCGCCCATGCCCCAGTCGGTGCTGGCCCAGCACACACACTGTGGCAAGTCACCCCCTGCCCATGGGGTGGTCAGTACCACAGGGTCCCCCTGCTCCGAAGAGCCCTGGGCCAGCACACCCAGGATGCCCGGCAGCTTTGAGGAAAATGGCGTGGAGGGCCTGGTCCTTTGGGCCAGGTGAGGTAGCTATGACATCCAGGGGCTGCTCTGCACCCGTGCAGTCAGCACTGCTCACACTTACAGCCACACTGGCCTGAGCATCTGCCGAAGGCCCTGCGACGTCCGTCCTCCATGTCCTGGAGCCGGGGGGAGGGGCACAGCGGGCGGGGCTCTGCCCGCAGAGGCCGCCCTTGCCACGTGCCTGTGCCAGCAGGAGCGGCTGCTGTGCCCATCCCACCGCCTGCGAGCAGCTTACTTAATCAGAGCACGTGTTGCCTGAGTCCCAGTCTGGACATGTGAAACTTGTGGCCGAGCTTTCTCCGGTTACACTGAGCCTTGGTGACATCACCGGGACTCACGGCCAAGTTGGTCACTGGGGCAGTAGATTCCATGGTTGCCCACAGCGGATGTGGTGCTTCACGTGGGTCCCCACCAGGCCTGTGGGCTAGGGATGTCCTCACCTGCATGCCTGTCCAGGGCTCCAGGGTCTGCTGCCAGGTGCCAGTCAGTGGCATCCCTGCCTACGACCTGGCACACAATGCGCAGCACATGTGTACCCGGGCACCCCTACTGCTGGGCATGGTAGGAAGGCAGTGCCTGCATTGTTGGCTGCAGAGGGAGCCCCAAGTGCAGGGCCCAGGAGGTGGAACCCGCACTGGACAAAACCCGGCGAGGCTGTCAGACGCAGCCATGGTGCTGGACAGAAGTGGCCTTAGTGACGGATGCCCCTGGAAGCTTGGGCGGTGGCCCAGGCTCAGCCCTCCCCAGTGGGCCAGGGCCAGGGCAGCTCCAGGCAGCTGAGCAGGGGTGCCGTGAGCTCCCCTCACCCAAGAGCAGCACTGGCCCTGCAGGTGCCTGGGAACGAGACGCTGCCTCGGTTTGGGCACAGGGGCCCCTCCTCCTCCTGTGATGTCCACCCGTGCCGTCACATCTGGTGCTCCTGACACCCGCACTCTGCTACCAAGAGGACAAGCTCTGAAGAGAGCTGTGACTGACTGAAGCAGGCCAGGCCTCGTCACCCATGAGGCGCCATGTACAGCTGGCCTGGAATGTCCCTGCCCTGAGCCACTGCTTCCCAGGTCCTCCAACGGACAGAGCAGACAGGCAGAGCAGCTGGGGGCAGTGGGGGGACCCAGGATGGGTTTGCTGCTTGCTGCTGTGGACACACCCGGCCCCTCTGGGTGTGCGAGGTTGTGCTGATGTTACACAGGTGGCGCGGACACCTGTCCTGTGTCACCAGGAAGGGCTGAGCTGGGGGCTTGGTGTGGACATCGCCCGTCCTGCCCCGTGCCCTGAGACAACGCCTTCCCCACCAGGTGCGTTCATCCCCGGAGTTCCGGTGCAGCCCGTGGTGCTGAGATACCCGAACAGGCTGGTGAGTCGGGCTCCCGGCCTGGTGTGGGCGTGGACTATGGGTTTCAGAGCCACCTGCTTGCTGTGTCCTTTGTCCACTGATGGAGGTGGACAGCACAGCATAGCCAGAAAGGCAGGGCAGAGGCCCATGTGTGTGCCCTGGCCGCTCCTCCCCTGTGGCCAGTCCCAATGTACTGGGATCGAGGTGCCTGGTTCACACTCGACATCTCGATTCTGGGGCCTGGGGCAGCGGGTCTGAATGAGGGGCTTTGTAGCTATCAGCCTTTCCCTGGCCTTTGTTCAAGGCGGAGGTTTCCTTTAAGAAAACAAAACGAAGGAACAGTCAGGGCCCAGAGCTTCTGGGGTGACCATGGGGGACCCCAGCTCAGAGGGGCGAGCCTGGAGGCAGCACCTGCCTGAGCACCGGGAGGGGGGATGCCGACCCTGCAGGCTCAAGTGGTAGGTGCAGGTCACTGGGGCACCTAGGGGGAGAAGCAGGAACGGGACCAGGGGTGGGACCCAGCGGGTGTTGGGATTGGGGTCCTCATCCTCAGGCCCGGCGAGGGCCATAGGCATCCGGTCCTACCCCAGGTGGGCCAGGGACAGGGCAGGCAGCTGCGCATGGTGACCCTGCTCCTCTGTCCCCCAGGACACCATCACGTGGACGTGGCAGGGGCCCGGAGCGTAAGTCGGACACTGTCCTGTGGGCCCTGGGCATGGCCACTCGGTGATCCCTCCGGCCCTGTTACCAGGCGCGTGTGAGCTGGCTGCCAAGGATGCCCATGAGTGGCTGGGCCAGCCCGGCAGGAAGTGCTGAGGCCCCCGCTCCTGATGGCCACTGTGCGGCTGGTGGCCCTGGTGTCGGGGGAGGGGCTCAGCACAGGGAGGGAGGACCCGGCTGGCCTTGGCCTGCAGACCCTGAGGCTCTCTTGAGCTGTGAGTCACGCTCATGGGACAGGGACGGCCACGCTGAGCTGACTGACGGTGCTGGGGTGGGCAGGACGCCCGGTACTGCAGGTGCCGTGGGTGACAGGGTCAGGCGTTGGCGGGGCAGGTAACTGTCAGCCCAGGGACGGGACCTTGTGGCGCCCACTGCACTCCGCCCATAAGAGGGCGAGGCTAGCTCAGGCTACGGTGTGACCGGCCCGGATGAGCGTGCCTTCTTGGGGCCAAGTCCCCTGGCTGGAGGGCGGGCATGGGAGAGGACAGCTTGCTGGACAAACCAGAGACGAGAGAGGCGGCAGATCCGGGAGAGGAGAGTGCAGGCTGCTGAGTGAGGAGCCCTGCGCCCAGGCCTGCTTCAGCTCGGAGCCCCAGAGCCGTGTCAGATGCCATCCGCTCTGTTCCCAGGTTGGAGATCCTGTGGCTCACGCTGTGCCAGTTCCACAACCGGGTGGAGATCGAGGTGCGGAGACGGGGTGTCCGGGTGTGGGTGGGCGCGGTGCAGGCTCAGGGGCTGTGGGCTGCGTGGCATGGCGCTGAGCCTCCGGTGCCTGTCTCAGTGCCTCGGGGCCCTCGAGCGCCTCCTGCCCTGCCCGTCAGCGCAGCCCTGCCTCTTGCCCCATTGTCCACCACGTGCACAGGTTCCCAGCCACCAAGGCAGCTGGATCTCTTTTACCTTGGTTGCTGGAGCCTGAGAGTATAAGACTGCCACGTAGGCAACAGATGTGTTTTGGCTCTTACTTTTACCGCACACGAATACTGCCGCATTCACCCGCCTGCATCCCACTGTCGGCTGTCTGAGGCACCCCCGTGAGCCCAGTGGGTCACACGCGTGGGGCTGTGGAATTCTGTCTGAGAGCACGAGGAGTGCCCTCTTCTGGGAAAGGGAGCGGGCAGCACAAGGATGAGTGGAGTGCAGCTTAGAGCTCAGTGGAATCCTTTCCGCCTTGGGACAGAGCAGGCACCTGAGGCCGTGGGGGATGGGCCGCACCCGCAGGTTGGATGCTGATGCGCGGCTTGGGCTCCTGAGGCCCCGGCCTGGCCTGGGTGCACCAGAGCCTGTGCTCTTGCCCACTGGCCAAGGCCCCCGTTAGCAGCTCCGATTCAGACCTGGTCTCTTGTTCTATGAGAAAAGAGGCCTGGTGGCTTTGCTAAATACCTCTGGGCACCACTGCTCGTACAGCTGCTGGAGCGCCCAAGAGGAGCTGTTGCAGCCAGAGTTCGAAATGGGTCTCAGCAGGACACAGAGGAGGCGGGTTTCAGGGGTCCTGTGTTAGTGACGTGCTGGCTAAGGAGACCAGGTGGGGCCGCACGGGGACTTCATCCTCTAAACCGAGTGGGCTCCAGCACATGGGCCACGAGAGGAGTCGTTCCAATTTTTTTAGGGTGCTAGTGATATTTTACTTCTTTTCTCAAATAACAGTTTTATGCATTCAGTTTTCTACTGTCCTTCAAATTGCACATCACTCCTTTGTACAATTTAGTGTATGATAAATATCACTATAAAGTGTTTTTTTAAAAAAGAAAAAGTTCTTGAATCTTCATGTCCACTTTAAGATCATTACAAACTTATTAAATAGTTCTGAGAGACAGACTAAAGATTTTTTTGGGCCAAAGAAATATTAAGTTTATCACAACAGATTCTTATTAAAAACTATACTTCAACCATAAAAATGAAGATCCTACATGGAAATTTTCTGATACACAAGGAAAGGAGAGCAGAGTAATTGGGGATAAATGTGAAATATCATTGAATGTGTAAAAGAATAATAACCCTACTCAGATTTTAAAATAAACGTAGTGTACCAAAGCAACAGACAAAGCAATTAATCTAGTTTTATATGGTAGCAGTGCATAATCAGAAACTGAAGTTCAAGGGCCAAGGATTTAGCTCAGTGGTTCCGCCGCCTGCCTCACAAGGGCAAGGACCCGAAAGTTCGATCCTCGGTACCAAAAAAAAAAGAAAGAAAAAAGAAATTGAAGTTCAAAACAGATTTATAATAAAATAATCAAATATTTAAGGATAAATTTAACACATTTCCAAACGTATACGCTGAAAATCAAACACTGCCAAGAGAAATTTTAAAAGATCCTAGTAAATAGGGTGATAGACGATTTTTACATAGTGGAAGAAGGGACATTGTTAAAATATCAATTTCTTCAAATTGATTCTTAAACACAATTCCAGTCAAAATCCTACAAAAATTGCTTAGAAATTATCAAACTGATTCTAAAGTGTACATGAATAGCAAAACCACTCAGAGCCGCCTTGAATAAAGAGCAAGGAGAGCCTTGTTAGCTGACTTCGAGCCGTGTTGTGCAGCTGAGGAGGAAGGCGGATCGCTGGCGTGGGAAGGAGGCAGAGCCGGCTGCCCTGCTCCGACGGTCCTCCGTGCGGCCCGGTCTGCCAGAGCTGCTGCTTCCCTGCGGATAACAACACGCAGTCCCTGGTTTTACCTTGCACTGGGCGCTGAGGTTAACGGCAGGGCTCTACACACAAACATGAAAGCTGCACTGCTGTAACCCTAAAGGAAGCGCATAAATCCTAGTTACTCTGGGATGGATAAAAACTTCATAGACAAAAAGCAAATTCATTAGAAAAAATTACTTTTACCGAATTTCAAAGTTTACTCTGAAGGGAGGCATTTCGATCTGAAGCTGCAGTAGATGCTGGGGCTGCTCAGAGCTGAGCCCCGAGAGTTAGCAGCTGTGATGCTTCTGCAGCCAGGGCTGAGCCGAGCGCAGCGGATGGGGGTCCCCCGAGGTGGACGCGCCCCGCAGAGGGGTCCTGAGTGCTCGGGTGCGCGGGGTGTGGGCGTGGGCGTGCTCGCGTGAGCACAGGTGGAGATTCTAGTGGGACCCTAGTCGTGTGAGGCTGGCGGGTGCCTCCCGCGCGTGCAGTGACTGCTGCGCTGTGTCAGTTCCTCCCCGTGTACAGCCCTTCGGAGGAGGAGAGGAGGAACCCCGCGCTCTACGCCAGCAACGTGCGGCGCGTCATGGCCGAGTGAGTGACTGTCGCGTTGCTTCCCTGCCGGTCGCACTGCGAAGCTGCGGCCCTGGCGTCGGGAGGACAGGTTTCTGCAGAAGTGAGCGGACGAGCTCCGCACGCTGGCACTGGCTGCTGGCCCGACGCCCCGTCTCGTCTTATCTGACGCTGTTCCAACTTGTTCTGCGTTGGAAGACAGGAATGGTTGCTTCACTTAGCAAGTCCCACAGCTGCCCGGAGCCAGCGGTGCCCGGGCCGTTTCTGGTGCAGCCCGGGCATCACAGGCCTTGGGAGCTGCGTCCTCACAGGCAGAGCAAGGGGCGAGTTCAACCCGCGCGGACAGAGGGGCAGGGCCTGCACGGGATGCGCTGGTGACAGCCGCGCGCGCGCATGTGCGTGTGTGTATGTGTGTGCGTGCGTGTGTGCGTGTGCGTGCGCGGGGGCGAGGGTCCCAGGCAGAGCTGACGCACGAGGCCGCCCGCACTCTTAGCGCAGAACTCAGGGCTGCCGTGAAGCCCGCCTGTCTGGTGCTAAGCAGGGACCTGAAACGTTGCAGTCCCGGGAGACCGGGCATCAGCGCTGCCGGCGGGGCTTCTGCTGGCCACCCGTGGGGTGCCTTTCGTGAGCCCTGTGGAGGTCTCTGCCCGTCTGGACCTCTTGCCCCTCCCCCTCCTCTGCACCTTTTGCTGTTTGCCCTCCTGGCCACACAGCTCAGGGGACCGAGCTCAGAGGGGGCCTGCTGCTGTCCCCAGACCCAGGGGAGTCAGCGTGGACCCCCAGTCCGTGCCTGCAGGCTCTCCCAGCCTGTGCCCGGCCATGGGAAGCAGGCATGTGGGGGCCCAGTGCGCGGCCCACACTTGTGCCGAGTGGCTGGGAGTCGCTGGCCGCACGTGTGCCATGAGGGACAGTGGGCCTCACCCTGGGCCCCGACCCCTGGGGTGGGCAGGAGAGGGCAGCCCGGCTCCGGTGCTCTGCACATCGGCCCTCTGATCTTCCTGTCGGGCTCCTGGGCGGTTTCTCCGGCTCTCTCGTGCTGAGGACAGGAACCAGGCCTTCCCAGGCTGGGTTCTCAGGCCACCGGCTCTGTCTCAGCTGTCCGGGCCAGGCCTGTGCCTAGATGCCATGGTCACAGCTGTCTCGGAGCCCCGGGAGGTGTCCCTATGGGCCTTGATGCCCCCTGGCCCGCGTCCCCAGGTGTGGCGGGCCGGACCGCTGTGGGCCTCTGTGGCCGCGCAGGACGCCCCAAGCGGCCCTCGGAATGGCTCCCTGGGTCCTCGCCCAGTGGCTGACGGGTGCCCCTCTCGCAGGGCCCTGGGCATCTCAGTGACCGACTACACCTTCGAAGACTGTCAGCTTGCGCTGGCAGGGGGGCAGCTGCGCCTCCCGGCCGACTCCTGCCTGCTGGAGTTCGCCAGGCTGGTGCGGGGCCTCGGGTGAGTTCCTTGGCCTCCGGCCCTGCCCTGCCCCTGCCCCAGGGCCCACGCGGAGGCCACAGTTCTTCACTGTGCGGGTCGGGGCTCCTGGGGGGGCTGGGGTCCCATGCAAGTGCTCCACCCGCACGCCGCATCCCAGCCCTGAACTTGCGTTCTGAGACAGGTCTCCCTGAGTCACACAGGCTGGCCCAGCCCTGCCTCAGACACTGCTGTAGCTGGAGTGGCAGGCCCACGTCCGAGTTTGCTTCAGATATCAACTCCCGGCCCGTAGAAGGGCCTTAAAAACCCTGGTGCTGAGTGCAGCTGCCCCGGGGCCACCCCAGGCGCCCGCAGCTCTGCACCGGCACCGTTAGGCGGAGACCCCGCGCCCCGCAGGCAGTCCAGTGGGAGTCCAGCTACCGCCCTGGATGGTGAGTCTCCTGTTTCAGCTTTCTGCGGTTTTATTGAAATCTCTTGTTTAGGCTGAGACCCGAAAACCTTGAAAAGGATCTGGACACGTACTGGGAAAGTGCGCAGATGCGGATGCGGAAGGGCGGGAAGGTCGGCCTTGGGGAGTTCGCCGCGTGCCTGCAGGTGCCGGTCTCCCCCGTGCTGGAGGACATGTTCGCGCTCTTCGACGAGGTGGGCTCGGGGGCAGGGCGAGCACCCGGTGCCCAGGGGGATGGGTCTCTGTGTGCGAGCGCCTGTGAGACAGCTCTGAAAGTAGAGGGGACCCTCGCCCACGCCCCACACGCTCATCCGGGTCCCCAATGCTCTCTGGTGTACATAGAAATGTGAGTTTTATCTGGGTGTGGTGGCACAAGCCGGTAATTCCAGCACTGTGGAGGCTGAGGCAGGAGGATCTCTGGAGCTTCAGGCCAGCCTGGACTACAACGAGAGTTCAAGGCAGGCCTGGGCTACATAGCAAGACCCTGTCTCAAAAAACCAAACATTAAAAAAGAACAAAACTGGAAGTGTGACTTTCAGTCGCCCTCACGCATGCTCCCAGCCGGTGTGTGCAGGACCTGTGCTGGTTCGAGCTTCTCCAGACCCTTCCGAGGCTGCTCCCGCCGGCTGGGCTCAGCCTGAGAGTGGCCAGGGCGCCGAGCTGAGCTGTCTCCCCCAGGGTGGCTGCGGCGAGGTGGACCTGCGGGAGTGTGTGCTCGCCCTGTCAGCCGTGTGCCGGCCGGCCCGGACCCTGGACACCATCCAGCTGGCGTTCAAGGCGAGTGAGGCCAGCAGGCGTCGCGCCAGCTGGTGTGGGAGAGCTCCATGTGCCAGGGCCTGGCTGTCCCCGAGGGCGTCCCTGCTGGCGCCCGCCTCCCTCTCCCGGGGGCCCTGGGACTCCCACTGCGGCCTGGCCCTCCCAGACACGGTAGCTCACCTGTCCCTCCCGGACACGCCCCACCCCGGCACCGCAGGCACCCTGGGCCGAAGCACCAGTGACCCGAGGCGGAGCGGCCCAGGTGTGCCTTCCGAGGCCCACGAGGGCGGGCGGGGCGGGGCCTGTGCAGGGCCCGGGTGGCCTCCAGGCTCCGGCAGAGCGCGGTGCGAGCAGCCGCAGTTCTCCCCGTGGCCACCAGGTGGTGCTGGCGACCCGTGTTTCCGCCGCCTCAGGCCCAGCCTGGATTGAATGCCTGCTCCCTCCCTGCCCCGGCTCCCAGCGGCGGCTGCGCTGCCCGCTCAGTGCCCTGCGCCTTGCCTTGTTCCCCCAGCCGTGCCTGCCTCCGCCCCCGTGTCTTGTCCCCGTCTCAGCCCCCGTCACTGGCCGGGCTGGAGACCAGGGCCAGGGGACGGCCCGGCAGTGGGGAGTGGCGGGGGTGACCGCTGTGCCTTGCAGATGTACGGGTCACCCGGGGACGGAGGCGTGGACGAGGACCAGCTGTCGCGCATCCTCAGGACCGCCCTGGGCGTGGCGGAGCTCCCCGTCACTGAGCTGTTCCGGGGCATCGACGAGGAGGAGAAGGGGAGAATCACCTTTGGTGAGCGGAGCAGGGTGCAGGGGCCCGCAGGACGCAGGACGCAGGCCACAGGCTGCCCGCTGTGGGGCGTGTGGCCGTGGTGTCTTCAGTTCACAGCCAGCTTCACATCCGAGCCCACGTAGACACGGTCAGCGGGGGTCCGCTGTGGGATGGTCGCCCACCCTGCCCCGTCTGCCTGTGCATGTGGGTCCCCCGCGATGCTGGCCCAGCCCCCCGGCCCTGGCCCGCAGGTATCCGTCAGGAAGTGAGGGTGCAGCGCAGCAGCTGGTGTCCCTGCACCCGAGCTGGGCTGGGCTGTCCCAGGAGACCCTCGGCCCCAGTGGGACCTGTGATAGGGTCGTGGGCAGCTCCAGGCCTGGCTGGGTCCATGCTTAGCACGGCCTGCTGCCCAGAGGGCGAGCAGAGGGTGAGAGGAGAATTCAGGGAGGGGACAGCACGGGACAGGGAGAGCCGGACCTCGGAGCGGGCAGCAGCAAGGGTCTCGGGGCTGGTCTCGTGGCGGGGCCGTGCAGACAGCAGCCCTCCGTTTCTAATTACATGCACACTTGCGGGTGGCTGGCGTGGAGTGGATGGCTGGCAGTGGTCATGGCACCCCCGACCACTGGGTGCCACCCTGCGCACCTGCCCAGTGAGGCCCATCGGTGCCCGCGGGCTGCGCTGTGCGTTTGCTCAGCGTCCTGGCGTCCGCGTCCACGTCACCCCCAGTAGAGCTGTTTGCAGGAGCCCAGGGTCCTTGTCCACTGCGGGGCCAGCGCCCAAGCTCTCAGGGTGCCGCTGTGTCCTTGCCAGGTCCCTAGCCTGCGGGGCCAGTGCTTCCCTCCCGTCCTGCCCGACGCGGCACAGCCAGGCCAGCCCTGCTGGTCCACGGTGCCTCACAGCTGGGCCTCTGGGGCTGGGAGTCAGGGCCTCCTCCTGGCAGCCTGGACGTGGGAAGGCGGCGAGCAGCACCGACCACCATGGTCACGTGACTGCGTGTGCGGCGGGGTTCTCCCTCCCGGGGCGCAGGGCACTGCCCAGCTCAGGGGAGACCCGGCCTGGGCCTTTGCCCCTCGAGTGCCTGTAACCAGTACCCTGTCCTTGCAGCCGAGTTCCAGAGGTTTGCAGAGCTGTACCCCGACTTCGCCGAGGAGCACCTGCACCCCGAGCGTCAGTCCTTCCATGGCACCACCCTGCCACCACCCACGCCCACCCCCAATGGCTTCTGCACCGACTTCAGCCCCGAGAGCTCGGACTCGGGGACAAAGCCTCGCTGTAAGAAGCTGGACTAGGGCTCGTGGACCGAGGCCGAGGCCTCTCCCACACCCCAGCCGCCTCCGGCGACAGGCTGTGCCCAGCAGCCTCTGCCACGCTGGGCTCTTCGGGCCGAGCCAGCGGCCCGGGTCTGCGCGGTGTCTGTGAAGGCCGAGTCCCAGAGCTGCGTGGGGAGCCGGGCGTGTCCTCGCCCTCGCGTGGAGTCCTGGGTCGGCTCTGTCACCATCCTCCCATTCCCCCCTGCCCCGTCCGAGCACGAGGCCACCACCCGAGGTGTGACCCAGCACGGCCTCTCCTCAAGTCATGGCGCAGAGGCGCCGATGTCTGGTTTTTAAACATTTCTATATTTTCCAGGGGCTCACGAGTGTTTTATAACTTCATTTAGGTACTTCTGAAGACATTCAGCATTTTTTTAAAAACAGAGAAATTGTTTTTCTACTTCATTTTCCTGCCGGGCTCAGAGGTTATTTATTTGTTGGCCCTTTTTTGACAGACTGTGAGGCAGCCTGGCCCTGGCCATGCAGTTCTGGCTGTGCCCTGCAGGCAGGTTCCTCTCCTCCTGACCCGACCACAGGACCCGGCCCAGGCGCCTTCTGGTCTCCATCCTTTTGGAATCCCTTCTTTTTTATAACTTTGCCAGTCTGGTGTTTCTGTTTCAGCATAACAAGATCTACTTCACTGTCGTGCCGGCTCAGCCTGAGACGAGCAGGCGGATGTGTCAGGCAGGACGGGTAGTGGGGCCCCGGTGTCCCCATGGGTGCACCCCGGTGGTCCCAGCCAGGCTCCCGGGCCTCTTGTGTCCGCCCCGGTTGCTGTGTGACCTCCCTGCACAGTTTCTGATGCGGGCCGGCGTCGGTCACCGTGAGCTCGGGCGGGCACTGCCAGGGCCCGTCCCCACCCGTGCTGTCCATTCCCACGACACAGTCACAGCGCCGCCTGGAGGTGGAGGTGGGGTTTCCTCCCCGCGCAGAGCTCCGGCCTTGCTGGGGGTCTTGGCTTTTACTCCCGAGATGAACCAGTGTACACTAGGGCCTCCTTGCTGCGAAGTGACTGCCAGGGCGTCGGGCGGGCGTGTCGCTCCCTTCCGTGGACACTCAGCCCACGTCTTTCCACCGAGCCTTGGGAAACCAAACCCTCTGTCACCAGGGCCCCACTGCCACCAGCGGGACAGCATCACGTCAGCGGCGATTGGCGAGCTGGGCGCCCTGGGGATGAACAGTGACGGATCCATAACTGTAGCACACATAAGGATTAATTTTTTTGAGACGGGGCCTCACTGTGTACCCAGGCTGGCCTTGAACGTGCCGCAGTCCTCCTGCCTCAGCCTCCCGAGTGCTGGGATTACAGGCATGTGCCACCACGCCCAGCATAAAGGTTCATTTTTAAAACAGGAATGCCTGCAGGCCACCCATGAAGGAGGTCAGTAAGCGAAGATGTTCTGCGGGAGGGGCTGGGCACCCCCGCTGTCTGCAGATGAAGGGTTTTTATTGAAGTGCTGCTGCGCATTTCCAGCCAGAAATCCCTGAGACGCAGACTGAACGGATGTTTGTGCCTCCGGATCCTTCCCCTTTGCTAGGGGCTGTGGATGTACCTAGGGGAGGGTGGGTTCTGCGGAGCGCCAGGCTCCCAGTGGAATAAAGGGCATGAAGGCGTGACCCCAAGAGCGAGCCTCACGTGTCTTTTTTGCTGGGGAGATGACAGGAGACTTGAGACTGGTGGGACCCACAAGATCTCCCGGGCGTCCCTGGTCTGCAACAGCCCCTTCCCCAGCAGTAGGGGCGGCTCTGCAGGGTCACGGGTGGTGAGCAGGCAGGCTGGGGAGGCCGCTGTCCGGCGTCTGCATCTGCCTTCTCTTCCAAGCACACGGCCTTGGCCACAGGCTGTCAGGCCGAGAGACGGACCTTGCTTCCAGTCCTGTGCAGCCAGCAAACGATTTAGGGCTAAAGGAGCTGAGGAATGGCCCCGAAAACACCCAAAACACCGGGCATGCACAGCCCGGCTTCTTGGATCGGGCAAACTTCAGACTCTGCAGGAAAAGACGCCGAGTGAGCAGCCGCCGGCCGGTCTGTGAGGGAAGAAGTGAGCTTGGCCTTTGGAACTGATTAGATGTGTGGGTTTTGAAATCAAAGGTTCAAAGGAGGAGCCTCACGCTGTCCTGGGAGCCAGAGGCACAGGCTGCGGGTGACCAACCGGTGTCCCCCGAGCCTGCCCACCACCCTTCCCCACAAGCTCGCCTCTAGCCCGGCCCCACCCGGTAACAGGGCCGAGAGCCGAGGCCCCGGGCGGCCGCGCTGGGTCCGTGTCCACCCCTTTCCCAGAGTAGGTGCCATACAGATGCCCAAACGCTCCCGGAGCTCAGCTCCTACAACAGGTGGTGTTGATTCCTCTGCCAGTCAGTAGTCCATCTGAGCATTCTCATGGGGAAACTGAGTCACGTTCATCCATGTGACCAAGTGCCTAAAAAACAGCAGGTGTGTTTTAGCTCACTGCTTCAGAGAACACAGTCCACAGCTGGCTCCAAGGCAGAAACATCACGGCAGAGGAAAATTGTCTGGTTTATGGTGGCCAGGAAGCAGAGGACAGGGCTGGGGACAGGCAAAGCCCCTCGAGGTCACAGCCCAGGGATTGTGTCCTCCGCCTGCTAACATGAGCTCAGGAGTGGATGAACCCTGTGTGAGTGCAGCGCCCCAGCATCAGCTGTCTTCTCAAAGCCCCGCTCAACACCGGAGACTTCAGGGGGACACTTGTGACCCAAACCATAACACAGGTCATCACCCCCACCACCAGGTGATCCTGTAAAGGGTAGCAGGTGGCCGGAGCTGGGAAGGTGAGGACCCAGTTAACTGTGCACACAGCCGGCCGGGCCAGGCCCCTTTGTGGGTGCGACCTCGTTGTCACCACAGGCCCCTGTCCCTCATTTCCTGGCCCACACCAGAGCCAGGAAGGTCAGGAGTGAGATTCGCTCTAACTCCGCAGGACTCAAAGCCTTTCCTGTCTTGATGGATCAAGAGGCACCCAGTGGACCGCTGGCCTTGCCAGGAGTGGCAGCAGCCCCACCCCCTGTCTTTCCGATCAGATCAGTAGCACCTCTCTTGCCCGCTAGTTGGGGAGCAGGGGTGGCTGGGTCACCCACGGTAGGCGGATGGGGCCGGTGGGATGTCCCCTGGGAGCAAGACCTCGGAGTGGAGCAGAGAGCACAGCTGCGGGGGAAGGAGCAGAACCATGGCTGGTTCACTGTTGCCTGGGGTGAGGAACGGAAGCTGCTGTGATTTGGGGTTGCTGTGTCCGGGACCAGCAGGTCTGGACGCTCAGGGAAGAGGCGCCATGCACCCCGCAGATGTTGGGCCTTGAGCGTGGAGTGATGCATGTTGCTGCCCGCTCCTCACCGGGAGTCAGAGCTGCTCCTGAGGCCGTGGCAGGGATAGCCCAGCACAGAGGCCGCCTCGAGAGGGGTGGGGCATTTAACAGTGGCACCGGACACGTACAACTCGAGTGGCATCGAAGATGTGGTCGTGTCCAGTGGCACAGCAGCATGACCTCAGGGCTGACCCCGTGTCCTCTGGGCCAGCTGCGTGGGTGGGCAGCAGGGAGCGTGACCACACGGGGCCCAGTGTGCACTGCTGCCCGGCGGCCTGGGCTGCGGCGTGGGTGGAGGTCACGGGTGTGGCCTGGCGGGATGGGTCCAGTCTGGAGTGAGTGTGTCACGGGAGGGAGACCTGTCCGCTGGGCAGCGAGGGGCAGCATGGTGGTCCTGTCCCCGTGTGGACAGGGCCCTTGGGAGGGTGTGCGGCTGAGGCTGAGCGCTGCACCTGCTCCTGACACTGGTGCCCGGTTGGTGCCCGGCCTCTCTGTGCTGTGATCCGTACCTCGTCCCTCTCCCCATGCTGCTGCAGAAGGGTTCCGTCAGGCAGTCAGGGGCTGGGAAGAGGGGCCGGTGCCCAACACCATGCCACACCCTGAAGGGGCAGGGGAGAGGGGACACAGAAAAGCAGGACTTGGTTGGATGGCAATGTGGGGTCCCAGCACTGCATGGGGAGAAACGGACAGACGGTCACATGCCTGGAGCCAGGCTTGGGGCTGCTCACCTTCTGTGGCTGGAACACGACGCCTGGCTTAGTCTCAGAGGTTTGGTCCGCATCTGCTCTCTCCGTCACCCTGGGCCAGCGGTGTCGAGCCCGTGGCACACCTGTTGTTTTTAAGACAAAAGATGTTGATGTGTAAGTTGTTTTTTCTAAACTAAAACCTAGGCGTTCAGGTTTAATTGCAGTGTTGGTGCTGTGAGAAACGTAGTGGGTTTTGGGTTGGTTTGGGCATGCAGTCTCTAAAGGTTCGCCGTCCCTGGCCTAGGCTGCAGTGAGTGGACATCACAGGAAGCAAAGCTGCTCACTGGGGCAGCGGGAAGCAGAGAGGGTGTGAGCAGAGAGGAGGGGCTTGGGGCAGACAGACCCCTCACCCCAAACCTGGTGCCACACCTCCTCCACCGGGCCCAGCACCTGGCAGCCCAGCCTGCTGCCAATGCGCCAACGGGTCATCCATGGCCAGGTCAGAGCCCCGAACACTTCTTACTAAACCATAATGGGAGGGAAGAAAAGGTATTAATAATGGCCAGAAGGCCTCCAAATCCATAAGCTTGCATCTAAGAGGCTCAGTAAATGCCAAGAAGAGTAAAAGCAGAAATACAACCAGACACATTAGAGCACATTGCTAAAACCATCGACAGAAAATTTCAGAAGCACCCAGAGAAAAAAATCGTAACTGTGGAGGAGCAAAGGTAAGAGGGACATCTGGCTTCTTTCTCAGCAGAGATTCAGCAAGCCAGGAGGCTGGGCACCTGCAGAGAGGAAGACTAAAGCCACCAGCCTAGAATTCAGGCTAAACACCTTTCCACCAGGCAACAAGAGAACTTTAAGGAAAAGCTGAGGTAGTGCATCACATTCAGGCTGTGACTACCAACAATGTTAAAAGTTCTACAGGCAGAAATAAAAGAATCCCGTGCAGAAATCTGGCTCTGCAGAACAGATTATCATTCAGAGACAGACTACAGTGAGCTAAAAACGTAAGCCTCTAAAAGAAAACAAAACCAAAAAGATACGGTCGGTTAAATGCTAATTTTACCCGAGCTGGGCAGGCAGTGAGGAGACAGGGAGAGCAGTGCTCCCAGCCAGGCCACAGTGGCTCTGTCTTGTGCTGGCTGCCGTGCCTCTGGGCAGGGGCGCTGGGCCAGCTGCAGCACAGGCCCCCGGTGCCGCCCCCGGTGCTGCAGCTGGACATGCCGGCTGAGACCTTCAGAGCGCCTGAGGACAGAGGGGGCTTCTCCCAAGGACCGTTCCTCTGACCATGCCTTGCTGTCCGAGCAGTGCCCTAAGTCCCCGATGAGCTCATTCACCACCAGGTGGGCCTGTCCGGGTCATTCTGGGGCTGCGGCGTCCTCTCAATGCGGAGGCAGACGTTTGCTTTATACCTCTCTCAAGTCGCACAACAGAAAAGAGCACCGGGCAGTCATGCAAATACAGAGCAGCAACAGGGGAAGCCTAGATCCAAGCACTTGAGGAGCACATTAGCTACAGTGACGATTGGTGGACTGAATAAAGACTGAAATTCCCGGCGTGTGCTGTGCAGAGGGAGAGTGGGAAACACGTGCAGCACAGGCAAACAGAAGCAGGAAAGGTGGTCTGGTGAGGCGGCCCTGCTACTCACGCTGCAAACCGAGGAGGCCCCCAGCGTCCAGGACACAGGCGCAAGGTGGGCTCCCCAGGAAGGCGCGGGCACCCTGGAGGCACAGGTACCTTTCTGGCAACAGAGCCCAGAACACACTCAGAAAACCAACAGAGGAGCTGGAAACCAGTGAACACAGGCAGATGTCAGCAGAGTCCGGTAGCCAGTGCGTTCAGTGGGCCCAGAGCTGCTGACCTGCTAGACCATCTGCCTGGCCGTGGAATAGATTCCCATACATTCCGAGGCACTGGGCGCCCCGCCAAAGCTGTGTCAGGAATTCCCTGTGTTCCTCGCCCAGCTGCACGGCCCCCAGGGTCCACAAAGGACACAGAGCCACGGCCAGTGAGCAGCCACCAGGGAGGCTGTCACGGGAGATGCACGTCCCCAGGGCACAGGAAGGGGTGTGGCCCCAGCGGTGAGAAAGGCGGATCCCAGAAGCACCAGGTGCTTGCCCCACCAAAGGCTTCCAAGCAAGACCTAAGGGGACCGAGCCATCCCAAGGAATTCACTGTCCCAGAGATGAAGCCCCAGGACAGACAGGAGTGCAGGCGCCCGCCCTCCGCCCCTCCGTGGGACCCCGTGTTACGGCTCGCCCCCCATGGCCTTGCATGTGAGGAGGTGACTGCATGGCGGGTGCTGTGCTCTCGGGGACCCATCCGTGAGGAGCTCGTTGACAGTGCTGTCAGTGCCAGGGCCTGCCTCTCCAGCTCCGAACTTCCCTCTCTGCTTCCTGGCTCCCATGGGGTGAGCAGCCTGGCTTCGCTCCACCAGCCCCTCCACTGTGCTGTTCCTGCCTTGGAACCGCGGTAACCCTCTCCTCCTCTGGCTGCGGCTGTCAGCTACTTTGACCCGGTCATGGGTGCATGATTAATACTCAGTGCCTGCCATACCAGTTGGAAATGACAGGATGCAAACGAGCAGCCAGAAGGCACTGGTGTGCACTCAGCA